TCTATCTATCTATCTATCTATCTATCTATCTATCTATCTATCTATCTTCCACCTCATCCTTCCTTCTCTCTCTCTCTCTTTCTCTCTCTCTATCCATCCATCCACCTCATCCCTCCCTCCCTCCCTATCTATCATCCATCCTCCCACCCACCTCATCCCCTCCCTCTATTATCTATCCCTCCCTCCTTCCAGGAGCACTTTCTCTGTAACGTGCTGGGGGGGGAGCGGAGCAGCCAGCTGCCCCCAGATAAGAGGCTGCCCTAGCAGAGCCTGGCTGGCGCTTGGCCAGGGGAAGCCACCCCAGGAGAGGCGAGGGGGGCCGGCCGAGAGCAGCCGTGTCGTTATCTAAGGGAGCTCTCAGCCCCCTTAGTGTCAGCCTGACGCCCGGAGGAGGCCCGGCTCTTTGTCCCTGGAGGGCCTCCCTCCGCCTTCACCAGCGCCTGGGCACGGCGCCTGGTCTGGTCCCAGGCAGCCTGACCGGCTGGGTTGGGCAGGAAGAAAGCCACCCCAGGACTTGCCGGCTGCAAAAGGACTGACCTGTGGAATAGAAGTTCTCAGGGGTCTCCCCGAAGAGATGCTCAGAGTCCTTTGGGCATCACCCCAAATGGTGGGGAGGGGGCGGCTAATGGGTCTGCCCCCCGCCCTACGGAAAGGCCCCCCTACAGGAGAGCTCAGTGGCTGGCCCTCCTCCTCCTCCTCCTCCTCCTCCTCCTCTGCTCCGAATGAATCTCTCGCCAGGGACCCCCTACAGCTGCGGGACAGAGCCAACCTCCGTGGCCAGAGGAAGAGAGACCCCTCAAGCCCCCTCAGTCAGAATGGTCAAGACCGTGAGGACAGTGAACCAGTGGAAGAACCGGCCTCCAGAAGTCGGGGATGCGCCAACGGCAGAGGATTTTTAAAAGATGTTGGATGGCCCTTTGTCTGAAGTGGTGCAGGGTTTCCTGCCTAGGCAGAGGGTTGGACTGGAAGACCTCCAGGGTCCCTTCCAACTCTGTTTTTCTATCCTATCCTATCCTATCCTAAGCCCCTCGCTCCTACCTACACCCCCACGCCCAGCGGCTCCTGTGCGTCCTCGTTAAGGCAGGGGGTGTCAATCCTTGGCCACTTTAAGACCCTTGGACTTCAACTCCCAGAATTCCTCAGCCAGCTATAGAGTTGGAAGTCCAGAGGTCTTAAAAGTTGCCACGGCTGGACACCCCCCCCCCCCCGCCACTTCAAGGCATTCCTGTGACGTCGTCCCAAGTCTCTTGGCAGGACCTCTGCACTAAGGGAGGAGACCCCAACCACCGGTCCCCGGACCGGTACGTGGATCATTTTTTACCGGGCCGCAAAGCTTGGGCACCACCATCTTGTTTCGATGGCACTTCCGGGTTTTGGGTTGGAAAGTGGCGTTTGGGTGCTCGTGCCTTAGTTTCGTCGAAGGTGGGGGGGCGGTTTCGAACGAAGAGCCGTCCCGGTGGCGGTGGAGTCCCGCGTTACTCAGGTACCGGTCCGTGGAAGAATAAATAATCGTGAAACCGGTCCCTGGTTCAAAAAAGGTTGGGGGCCACTGCACTAAGGGAGGAGACCCCCCAAAGACCCCCTGAAACACACTCGCCATTGGCACGCCCTTCCCTGTGGCCCGGCCAGCCGTGCTGCATGAAACCCCTTGCCAAACCGTTTGGGGGGGGGGGAAAAAAGAATACCGACAACCCCCGCATGCCACTGCACAGAGTTTCCAAACAAGCAATTCTGCGAGGACGAAGGGGAACAAGTCAGGCTGCCCTGCAACAGGCTCCCTCGAGGGAGGGGAGAAGCGGTCTGGAGGCGGCAGAAGCAGCCGCTGGGGAAACAGAGGAAGACGGCGGAGGAAACCAAGGCCCACGGGGGGGGCGGGGGGCCGGAGTGGAGGAAGTTGCCTCCTGCATCTCATCGGCTTGAGAGAAACTCCCTTCGTAGGAGATGACCGGCTGGGCCCGAGGGAGGGAAGGGTCAAACACGCCATCAGGCTCGAATCCACTCGTGCCCACGAGAGACCGACCTCCAGCCCACCTCGACTTCCATCGACTCTCATGTGCCGCCGATTCATTCTGACTGTGAATGGTTGAGATTCTTGGAGAGAGCCTAAACTTTAGGCAATAAAACTTCATATTCACTTGAACTGCCCGGACATCCTAATTTTCCCACGCACTTCGACATGGGTTCCTCTTTCTGCGGAGGCCAAACTGGCTCAGTGGAAGAGAAGTTTTGTAGCTCAGGGTTGAACCGGGGGGGGGGGGGGGGGGGGGGGGTGGTGTCCCTTGGCAGTTTCCTTGAAGGCCCAAATTAGGTCATTGCTGGTGCCTGTATGGTGTCATAAGACACATTTACACTCCAAAGGAAACGGAAAGAGCAGAATAAATCCTTTCCCGCAGCCCATAACCAGAGAAGCAGGGATTGACACCAGACAAACAGTCCTCATCGAGGAGCGAGGAAGGTGAGACCACACCTGCACGACTGCCTATGAACAAGGTGAACCCTCATTCCGTTCTAGCACCGATGATGTTCCCCAGTTGGGTCAAGAACCAAACTCAGAGAGCACGAAGGACCCCACAGTCCTCCTCTTCCTCCTCCTCCCTACACACCCCTCCTCGCACTGATGACGTTTCCCAGTTGGGTCATGAAACGCCTGCAAGAAATCAACCAAAACTCACGAGAGCAGCAAGGACCCCACAAGCAAAGTGGGTAAGCTAAGCTCCCGTGGACCCAGGTTGCCAGAAGTCCATCATGAGTAGACAACTGTCAGAAATGGTGGAGGGTCTCCTGCTTGGGGGTGGGTGGATGTTGGACTAGATGACCTACAAGGTCCCTTCCAACTCGGATTATCTGTTAACAAAACCACTGGAAAGCTTTGCTGTGTGGACTTGGAACCAGCAACCTGTCCATTGCCCTTTCTTTAAGGGGGGGGGGTCCTCCATCTCTTCTTCTCGCCCCTCCTCAGCACTTCACTGGGGCCCTCGGGGGCCAAGCCTCTTCCTGCAGTCCAGAGACAGTGAGTCCCAAGCCGGCCTGCCCTTTCCTGGCAGGCCGGAGCCCTGGGTGCCCTCTGGGCTTACCTTCCGACGCCTTCCAGGCCTTCCAAAGATCTTCCACGCTGATGAGCTTGTCCTCCCCGTGGAAGGTGCTGTGCTTGATGGTCGGGTCGTGGTAATTCAGGTCTTCCCGCAGGAACTGGGAGAGAGAGAGAGAGAGAGAGAGAGAGAGAGAAAGAAAGAAAGAAAGAAAGAAAGAAAGAAAGAAAGAAAGAAGCAAAGACAAGGTCAGGTCTGGCATCTTCCGGCTCTTCACTTCGGGGGACATCCTGCCGTCAGTGGCAAGAGGGGGGGGCGAGGGGTGTGGGGGTAGTGCCATGTGGGCCCGGGAACCCAAAGATGAACAGAGGGAGGGCTGGCATGGTGAGGGGTCTAACTGAAATAAACCAGGTGCCCAGGACACCTGGCCTGGGAACCGAACGGGAAGCTCCATCGAGAGACGCCAAACGTCAGAAAAGGTAAAAGAAACGATGCTGGCTGGATGAAGGATTTTGGATACAGTGCAAATCTGGAAGATCGGCAAACTTTATGGGACAGGAATAGGAAAATTACCCTGGCGGCATCACATAAAGAAAATTTACCAAAAATGTTTTACCAATGGCAACATCCCGCCATCAAAACTAGCACAAATGTATCCGAAATTATCTCCTAAATGCTGGGAATGCAATAAAGAAATTGGAACATATTCCCATGTATGGTGGAAATGTGACAAAGCCCAAATATATTGGCTGAAAATCAGAAACTGGTTAGAAGAGATGTGTAAAATTAAAACACGAGTTCAGACCTGAAATTTTCTTATTGGGAATCAACGTGGGGAAACGTAATAAAGAGATAATATATTTAATAGCCCACGTCACCACTGCCGTGAGACTAGCTCTTGCCCGAAGATGGAAAGGAAATGATATCCCCGAAGAGATGGAAATAATTTTAAAAATTTGGTCGTGCGCTGAAATGGATGGAATATCTCAAGAATTAAAAGAAAAGACTGAATCTGATTATTACTGAATTTGGGAGAAGTTTTACCACTGGTTTAAAAAAAGAAAGGAGTAACTCTAGCAAAGATGATTAATATTTATGTACATATGTAAATTTGTATTTTTTGTTATGTATGCACCACATTCATTGTTTTTAATGTTTTTTTTCCTGTTTGTTGTTCATTAATAAAATTATTAAAAAAGAGAGAGAGAGAGAGATGGTGGTATGCTCCCAGTTTGGACCAGTTCATCTGAACTGGCAGTAAAAAAGCCTTCCAAAGACCAGCTGAGAGGAGGGAAAAAATGACCCATCATCCCCTGCGCTTTTCTCTTCTTCATCCTCTCAGCTGATTGGCGCTGCAGGGCTCAGCTGGTGGGGGGGGAAGCTGCGGGCGCCTGTTAGGCAAAGCATGCCCACCGTGCCACACCCACCGAACCGGTGGTCAAACCATTTGAATCCCACCACTGATCTAAACGGTGTAGTACTGGACAACTGATGGAATGGTCAAGCGGGGGGAGGGCCAGGGAAAGGGGGAAAAGTGTAACCTTTGCACAGGAATATTCAGCTCTAGCTTCACTTTGGCTGCAACCACTTCACTTTAGTAAAAGAATCTATCACTTCCATCAAATGGGAGCCGAGGGTCTTTCTTTCCTAAATGCCTAAGTCGAGGCAGGTCTGACGGTCGGAGTCCACCGTGTTGAGATAATTCCCCGTTAGGAGAATGAGCGCATACAGGGAGACGTATTTGAGAGGAGTGTTGGAATAATACACACACAGCACACAGATACACTGTACACTAAATGTAGGTTTTTACTTCCAGAAACTTTTAAGCAAAGTTCAAACACAGTCCAAAGTCATTCACAGGTAAGATCAGTCAGTTTTTAGTCCAAGGATAATCCAATAACAAAGTCCAGGATCAAAAACACTTCAGTAACAGACTTACATCAAATCCAAGAATAACAGTCATTAGAAGGAACGGCAAAACTCTCCAACAGAAGGAAATAGAGACTCACTGAGACTAAGACTAAGACAACCCAGGTTTCAGGCTCCATCTTATGGCCGTTTGAGAAACCACACCCAATTACAGCTTTGCATTTTCTTAAAGATACAGTATTAAAATGTCTATCCTGGTTTATATATTTCGAACCCAAATAGCTGTTAGGTGACTTACATTCCTAACAAACCAGTTACGCCCATCCTAAGCAAAAGACATCTCCCCCCCCACCCTTGTGAGGCTTCTTGCCAACCGGAGGCGGGATCTGGGCCAGCCGAGGCCCTTCCTGGTTCTTAGGCAAATGGATTTCACCCAAGGGGCGAAAGGGCCGCCGTTGCTGGCCTGGAAACCTGCCCTGTGTTTTCCCACCTGCTTCCTGCATGAGATCCGCCTGCCCCATGACTGCCAACTCTGCTGCGGGGGGGGGGGGGAAGGGGGGAGTGGCATCCACCTGTCTCATTCCCCTGCGTCCTTTCGCTGCTTCTGCCCTTGCCAACAGCTGTCAGGGCTCAGCAACCTTGCGCGAAGGGGGCCGCCAGGACTGGTGCAAGAAAAACAAGCGAGCCTTTCTTGGAATGGTACTAGGGTCTCCTAATTGAGCCAGGGGTTGGACTAAATGACCTCCAAGGCCCCCTCCAACTCGGTCATTCTATTATTCCAGGAGGAGGGACTTGCTGCCCCAGAAAAAGTTCTGCCCATAGACTGAGGCCGTTTTTGTGCTGGGGGTCAGAAGTTGTGGCTTCTCCAACACTGGAGGCTTTTAAGAAGAGACTGGACAGCCGCTTGTCTGGCATGGTCCAGGGCAGAGGTCTCCAAACTTGGCCCCTTTAAGACCGGTGGACTTCAACTCCCAGAATTCTTGAGCAGGGGGCAGGTGTTGCAGACCTCCAAGGTCCCTTCCAACCTAATAATGGGGCTACAAGATGGGGGCACAGAGGCAGAAGTTGGGGGTGAAGGACCCAGCCACCTCCGACATGGAGAAGTAGGGTGAGGAATGAGTGACTTGATGACCTCTTAGGTTTCCTCCAACGGGGTGGTCTTAGGAGAGGGACGGGTGGAGAACCCAGGAAGAGCCAAAAGGAGGGAAACCTCTGTAGCTCAGGGTTGAGCTCTGGGGCTCCTTGGGGCTTCTGAGCCAGCTGGTTTTCTTGCCGCGGTCTCATGACCCAACTAGGGAACGCCATCAGGGTTAACAGCGGATGGGGGTTTGTGGAGCGGTAGAGGAGGAGAAGGAGCAGAACTGTGGGCTTCTTGCAGACGTTTCATGACCTAACTGGGTAACATCATCAGTGGCTCAGTGTTGGTGGGAGAGCAAGTCTTGGGGGGGTCCTTCGTTGTTGTTTATTGTGTGATGGCGTGTCTGCGTCGGTAGCTTCCTGACTGAAGGAACACGGACAGCGCAAGCCCCTTGCATGTCAACAGAGAACCAGCCCTTCTCCCATCTAGCTGGCTGGGGAATTCTGGGAGTTGGACAAGTCTTCTTAAGAGGTGCCAAGGTTGGACAGCCCTGCTCCAGAGCTGCCCCTGGCCATTCTCGGGCAAAAGCTGCCGCTAGCTGGGGAGATTCCTGTGTTAGAGGCAGAAAACCATCAAGGAGCTACTTTGAACTCTACCCGTCTGCACCGGCTGGTCGCACCTCGTGGGCTTTAGGCTCGAGGGGCCGAGTGGGAAACCAAGACGCCCAGCAGAGGGACAGACACAACACATTTAGTGGCTTTTAAGCAAACCTCCTTACAAAAACATTTGCATTTTTTAAAAAAAGCACCCAGAAAGCAGTTTGAAAAAAGAAAAAGAAAAAAAAAACCCCGAAGCAGGCAGTGTGCGACGCCATTTCCTGCTGCTCATCACCGCTCCCAAACTCTTGGCCTTGAACAAAAAAGCAAAGTCAAATCAAGAGTGTTAAAAACAAAACACACAAAAAAAACCCCATATATATATATATTTTCCCCTCTGAAATGAGCCAGCAAACCACAAGCGCGGAGGCTGCTGTGTTCACAGTGACAGCAATAAAGGAAACGAAGGCCGGGAGGAAGAAAAGAAAAAACCAGCTAATGGCAAGAGAAATTTCACCGCTGTGGCCTGAGGGAGCCAGCAGGGCAGGGCAGCAGCCCAAAAGGCCAATTGCGTAAAGACGGGCGTAGAATCCGAATCACCTGAAGGAACAGGACCGCTTTCTGAAGACCACACCAGTTAAGGCCACACCTGGAATATTCTGCATTCAAGTTTAGGTCACCGTGCTACCAAAAAGATGTTGAGACTTTGGAAAAAGTGCAGAGAAGAGCAACTAAGACGGTTAAAGGCCTGGAGACTAAAACCTACGAAGAAGGCCTGCAGGAACTGGGGGTGTCGGGATGAACGAAAAGGAGGACCAGAGGTGACGTGACAGCAGCCTTCCAATATTTGAGGGGCTGCCACAAAGAAGGGTGGGGGGTGGGGGGGGTCAATCTCTTCTCCAAAGCCCCTGAAGGCAGGACAAGAAATAACGGGTGGAAACTCATCAAGGAGAGAAGCAAGTTAGAACTAAGTAGGAATGTCCTAACAGGGAGGACAATTAACCAGTGGAACAGCCTGCCACCAGAAGTGGTGGGTGCTCCAATACTGGAGGTGTTCAAGAGGAGACTGGACTGGCCTCTGTCAAAAATGGTGTAGGGTTTCCTGCTTGGGTGGGGGGTTGGACTAGATGACCTCCAAGGTCCCTTCCAACTCTTGTCATTGTGTTATTATTCTGTTATTCAGAAGTTGTGGGAGCTTCGTCATCCCTGGAGGCTTCCAAGAAGAGACTGGACTGCCATTTGTCTGAAATGGGGTAGGGCCTCCTGGTTGAGCAGGGGGGCTGGACCAGATGACCTCCAAGGCCCCTTCCAGCTCCATTCTATTCAAATTCTCCCGCCCAATTTGTGAAGTTTGGAGCCCCAGGACGAGCGACGAAGCCGATCCGGACCACGCAGTGACCTTTGCCGAGAGGCCGGCCGGGGCTTCACGCAGAGAGAAAGGCGAGAAGGTTAGAGACGAAACTTCCCAAGACGCTCCAAGATGAGGCTCCGCTTAAGCCCTGCAGCGAGGCCAGGGGGGGGGGAACGGAGGTGCAGGCCTGCTTCCCTGCAGCCCCCCCACCCCGCCAGCACAGCCCGTGACCTCCACCCAGAACCTGGCAATGTCAGCCAGACCCT